CTGTCTCAAAAAACCAAAAAAAAAAAAACAAAAAACAAAAAACAAAAAAACAACAACAACAAAAACCCGGGGGTGGTAGTGGGGAGTAGCTGGGAGTGATGGTGCAGGCCTTTAATCTCAGCACTTGGGAGGCAGGAGCAGGAGGATCTTTATGAGTTCAAGGCCAGCTGGGTCCACCTAGTGAGTTCCAGGACAGTCAGAGCTACATAGTGAGACCCTGTCTCAAAAAAAAAAGAGTGAGGAGTGAGAGGGAGGAAAACCCAGAGTTGTATCTACATGCACACACACACATCACATGTATATGCACACACACAGAGCATACAGTTTAATAATGTGGGACTTTGTCATCTGGGCAAAACATGACCATCATCATCTTGAAACCAAAGAATTGTGGTTATCCTCATGAGACCCTTACAAGATTGTATCCCTTAACATTGCCTCATAAGAGGAGTTGGGGAAAGTTTATATACACAAGACACACAAAGTCCCTCTTCTCCCAGGAAAAGGCTCTTCCTCTTTCTCAGGGGTAGAGTTGCCTGTACATTGCTCATGCTCCTATTAGTAACCCTAGTTACATTCATTAGTTCCATCCAGCTAGACTTGGGTGAATTCTATCTTGGCCTATTATTGCTCTCTCTGTCTAAGGTATAGAAATAGAACCCCCAGGGAAAGTCATGCAACAGGTCAGTTTTAGTATTTTTATGCCTCAAGAAACCATCATGAGCATACAATAACCAAGACAAAAACACACCTATCGCCGGGCGGTGGTGGTGCACGCCTTTAATCCCAGCACTCGGGAGGCAGAGCCAGGCGGATCTCTGTGAGTTCGAGGCCGGCCTGGGCTACCAAGTGAGTTCCAGGAAAAGGCGCACAGAGAAACCCTGTCTCGAAAAACCAAAAAAAAAAACAAAAAAAAAACAAAAAACACACACACACCTATCACTCAGTTTCACTTGATACTGGGATATAGAGCTTTGTCCCAAGATCTGTAGAGAACTCTTAGGCCTCCCTACAAAGGTGGAAGTATCTGGTTTCAGCCTTAGGGAGCCTTAGTGGAACATCTGTCCCTCAGTGGCCAAGGTGTAAAGAACCTAAAAGAACCTGTAGGGGCGGTATTGCCGCAGGCCTTGCTCTGACTGCTAACAGGGGTGCTGGCCTGCAGCCTTGCTCTGACTGCTAACAGGGGTGCTGGCCTGCAGCCTTGCCCTGACTGCTAACGGGGGTGTCGGCCTGCAGCCTTGCCCTGACTGCTAACGGGGGTGTCGGCCTGCAGCCTTGCCCTGACTGCTAACGGGGGTGCTGGCCTGCAGCCTTGCCCTGACTGCTAACGGGGGTGCTGGCCTGCAGCCTTGCCCTGACTGCTAACGGGGGTGTCGGCCTGCAGCCTTGCCCTGACTGCTAACGGGGGTGTCGGCCTGCAGCCTTGCCCTGACTGCTAACGGGGGTGTCGGCCTGCAGCCTTGCCCTGACTGCTAACGGGGGTGCTGGCCTGCAGCCTTGCCCTGACTGCTAACGGGGGTGCTGGCCTGCAGCCTTGCTCTGACTGCTAACGGGGGTGCTGGCCTGCAGCCTTGCCCTGACTGCTAACGGGGGTGTCGGCCTGCAGCCTTGCCCTGACTGCTAACGGGGGTGTCGGCCTGCAGCCTTGCCCTGACTGCTAACGGGGGTGTCGGCCTGCAGCCTTGCCCTGACTGCTAACGGGGGTGCTGGCCTGCAGCCTTGCCCTGACTGCTAACGGGGGTGCTGGCCTGCAGCCTTGCCCTGACTGCTAACGGGGGTGCTGGCCTGCAGCCTTGCCCTGACTGCTAACGGGGGTGCTGGCCTGCAGCCTTGCCCTGACTGCTAACGGGGGTGTCGGCCTGCAGCCTTGCTCCTGTCTAAGCATTTCTTCTGACCTTGCCAAGTATCTGCGTTGCCAGAATATACTGAAAAAAATAGGATGTATTGAATAGAAATGGAATATCTGCATTTCTAGAATAGAATGGAATACAGGGTTTCTCTGGGTAGCCCTGGCTGTCCTGGAACTCACTCTATACCAGCTGGCCTTGAACTCAGAGATCTGCCTGCCTCTGTCTTCCTAAAGGGATTAAAGGCATGTGCTACTACTTCCATGTTATTCCATTTTATTTTATTTTATTTTATGGTTTTTCAAGACAGGATTTCTCTGTGTAGCTTTGGAGCCTGTCCTGGAACTTGCTCTGTAGACCAGGCTGGCCTTGAACTCACAGAGATCTGCCTGTCTCTGCCTCCCGAGTGCTGGGATCAAAGGCGTGCGCCACCACTGCCCGGCTTCCATTTTCTATATGACATGAAAACTGTAGTCCTTAACTTGTTCATATCTACATTTTCCTATCCCGTGTGTGTGTTCAATTTATATATATGGGTGTTTTGCCTGCATTTATGTCCATGTACCATGTATAGCCCACAAAGGCCAGAAGAGAGCATCAGATCTTCTGAAACTAGAGTTACAGACAGTTCTGAGCCATCATGTGGGTGTTGGGAGCCAAACCCCAGTCTTCTGGAAAAGAGTCAGTGCTTTTAACCACCCAACCATCTCTTCATCTCTTATTTTGTGTGTTTTGATGAACAAACCGATCTGATCTTCTGATCTTTCTTTCTTTTTTTTTTTTTGAGACAGCTTGCCTTGAGCATACACTGTTATTTCTATTTTTAGTCCTTTCCCCGAACTGATCATACTTTCTTGTTTCTTTTTTGCCTTTATAATTTTCTAGTTTATTTTATGTTAATAGTTACCACTGTTTATTTTGAAAAACTTTATATATTGGGCAAATATATATATTCCAAGCACTCCAGAGCCTAGTTGGGAGAATTGCTGCAAGTCTAAGGCCAGACTGAGCTACAGAGTGAACCTCTGCTTAAAAAAAAAAAAAATAGTAAATTAATCAGGGCAGTGGTGGACACACTATTATTCTTAGCACTTGGAAGGTAGAGGCAGGCAATCTCTGTGAGTTTGAGGCCAGCCTGCTCTACAGAGTGAGTTCCAGGACAGCCAGGGCTGCACAGAGAAACCCTGTCTCTAAACCCCCCACAAAAAATAAAATAAAATGATTAATTAATAAGAAAAATAAAAGAAGCTGGGCATACAGTCCTATGCCTTTAATCCCAGTATTCTGGAGCCAAAAGGCAGATGGATCTCTGAGTTCAAGGCCAGCTTTGTCTGCAGAGTGAGTTCAAGGATAGACAGTCAGGGCTACACAGAGAAACCCTGTATATATACAAAACAAACAAATAAGAAAAACAAAAGCAAAAACCCTGAAAGTGTCTGTGTAACAAAATGCAATTTTTGTAAAATGTTATTTATTTATTTGTTTGTTTGTTTGTTTTTGAGACAGGGTTTCTCTGTTTAGCCCTGGCTGTCCTGGAACTCACTCTGTAGACCAGGCTGACCTCAAATTCAGAGGTCCATTGGCCTCTGCCTCCAGAGTGCTGGGATTAAAGGCATGTGCCAGCATGCCTGTCTGGAAAATAAGTTTTAAAACACAAAAGACCCATTATTTTACTTTATTATGTGTATGGGTGTTTTGCCTACATATATGTCTGCCCCACATGTGTGTAGCTGGTGCCCATGGAGACCAGAAGAGGGCATTGTTTCCACTGTAACTGGAGTTACAAATGGTTGTGAGTTGCCACCTGGGTCCTGGGACTTGAATCCAGGTCCTCTGAAAGAACAGTCAATATTCTTAAACTCTGGGCCTTCTCTCCAGGCCCCAATACATATGGTTTGTTTGTTTATTTTTTATTTATTTTTCTTTTTTCTTTTCTTTTCTTTTTTTTTTTTTTTTTTAGATTTATTCATTTATTATGTATACAGCATGTATGACTGCAGGTCAGAAGAGGGCACCAGATCTCATTACAGATAGTTGTGAGCCACCATGTGGTTCTAGGACAGCCAAGCCTACACAGAGAGACCTTGTCTTGAAAAACCAAAGGGAGGGGGAAGAAAAGAAAGAAAAAAGTGTATTGTGTGGAAATGGGATTAAAGGCATGTACCACCACATCCAAACACAGACACTTCAGTATTTAGAGAAAATTATTCTGGGCCTGCATGGCACATGCCCTTAATCCTAGTACTCCAATTCCAGGACAGCCTGGTCCACATAGTTCCACATAGTGAGACTCTGTCTTTTTAAAAAAGTGGTAGGGGGGCTGGAGAGGTGGCTCAGAGCTTAAGAGCACCAGCAGGCAGCTCTTCCAGAGGTCCTGAGTTCAATTCCCAGCAACCACGTGGTGGCTCACAACCATCTATAATGAGATCTGGTGCCCTCTTCTGGCATGCAGGCATACATGCAGGCAGAACACTGCATATAATTAATGAATAAATAAATCTTTTTAATAAAAAAAAAAGTGGTAGAAGTCAGGCATAGTGGCACACGCCTTTAATCCCAGCACTCAGGAGGCAGAGGCATGTAGAGTTCAAGCATAGCCTGGTCTACATAGTGAATTTCAGGACAACCAGAGCTATATAGTGAGACTCTGTCTTGAAACAACAACAAAATAATAATAAGAAGAAGAATGAAAAAGGGGGTGGAGCTTGAGAGATGGCTCTGCAGTTAAGAGTGTGTACTGTTAAGCCGGGCGGTGGTGGCGCACGCCTTTAATCGGGAGGCAGAGCCAGGCGGATCTCTGTGAGTTCGAGGCCAGCCTGGGCTACCAAGTGAGTTCCAGGAAAGGCGCAAAGCTACACAGAGAAACCCTGTCTCGAAAAACCAAAAACCAAAAACCAAAAACCAAAAAAAAAAAAAAAAAAGAGTGTGTACTGTCTAAACAGAAGACTCCAGTTCGGTTCTCAGTACCCATGTCAGGTGTAACTCCAGCTCCAGGGAATCCTACACCCTCTTCTGGCCTACACGGAACCTGTACACATGTGAGATGCACTCACACAGACACACACCACACATATACACAGAAATTAATAAAAATAAATATTTTTTAAAAGCATAGCTGATTAATTTGTTTTACTTATTTACTTAGTTTCACTGTTTTCTTTCTTTTGTTTTTTGCTTATGAACTAGGTAGAATCTCATTATGCTAGCCTTGAGATCTGCCTGGCTCTACCTCTGGGATTAAAAGCATGTGCCACTCTGCTTCACTGTTTCCTTGTGGGTGTATCTTTCTGCCCTCTGAGTTCTCGAATCTTAAAAATCTGTCATCTGACTGCAGTGAAAAGCTTGGACTTTGAACATAATTCTAACCCTGCTACTTACCTGCTGTGTGACCTGGAACATTTCTTGACATCTCTGTTTCTTCGGTAATCTCATTTCATAAAGGAGTAACAATGGTCTCAGCTACAGCTGTTGAAATTCAACAGAATACAGCAATGAAAGAGGAGGTGAGGAAGTGTGGGATGTGGGGTCCCTTCCTCCCATCTCTCAAGATGTCCTCACTGCTCTCCTGTTCACCTCTTTGCGGCATGCTTCCCTTAACCTGTAAAAAAACCTTTCCCATGGTAAGAAAAAGACTAGGTACTGCTCTGTCCTTCCTCACCCCATGCTGCTCTCCTTCCCCAAACATGGAGGCTATTCAGGACAGACCACAGACTTTGTTTACAGTCCTTACATGCCGCCAACTTGCTGGCATGTGGCTTCCTGCCAAGTCTTCCATTCAAAATGCCTTCTATAAAGGTCACTTCCTCACATCTTTCCTTTTGCAATGCACAGGTGACATGGCCAGGGCCGAGATGACCTTGGGAAACCCAGTCTCTGGGGTTCTGACAAACTTGGGACAAAGGCTGTCTAGGTGACTGGTAAATATGTGTCCTTTCAGTCCTCATGTCAGTGTTCTCAAGCCATTTCTAGAACACTTTCCATACACTATACTAACTTCCTCCTCCCTTACATCTGGCAAAGAAGTTGAACTTGAGAATTGGACTACGTTCCTCCCTCAGTCCAGGCTTCTGGGTGGAGACATTGTGTTTGCTTCCAGGTTATTCGACCTCAAGGACCCAGCCCACTATTTGCTTACTGTTCATCTCTGCCTTCTGCCTGTGTGGCATCTACCTGCTCTTCTTTGGGACTGGTTGTACCAAACATTTTAGTTTATCCCTAAAATGTGGAATCATGCATTTGATTGGTATCTGCTTATCTCCTGGGAAATTGCAGAGCTCTGTGTGGCTCAAGGCCCCAGCCAGCATCGACTGACTGACTGACTTCCACATGTGAGCGCGTGCACACACACACACACACACACACACACACACACACACACACACTCATAAAGTTAAAAAATATTTTTTGAGACAAGGCCTCAAGTTGTGCAGACTAGGCTGGCCTTGAACTCAAAGAGATCCTCCTTCCTTTGCCTCACCAGTGCTGCAGTTAAAGAAGTGTGGCACCACTATGCCTAGCCCAATAAAAATTAAAAAATAATTGCTGGGTGTGCTTGTGCACAACTTTAATTCCAGCACTCCGGAGGCAGAGGCAGGTGGGTTTCTGTGAGTTCAAGGCCAGCTTGGTCTACATAAGGAGCTCCAGATCAGCCAGGGCTACTACGTGGTGCAACATTATCTTAAAAAGAAAAAAATTTAAAAGCCTTATCCATAAAGTATAAGTGTTTGTCAGATATGATGGTTTATGCTTATAATCCCAAATTTTAAGAGACTGAGGCAGGGGGATTGCCATAAATTGAAGCCAGCCTAGACTACATAGTTCCAGGCCAGCCTGGGCTACAGTGTGAAAAAAACAACAACATGACAAAATCCCCAAACTAGGCAGATGTGGAAGGAGCATGCCGTTAGTCTGGAGGCAGAGGCAGGGGCAGGCCAATATCTGCAAGCCTCAAGCCAGCTGCATAGTGAGACATTGTCCAAAACCACACACACACACACACACACACACACACACACACACACACACACACACACGGACAAAACATTGAGATACAGTTCATCAAGCATGGTATCTAGTATTCTTCTAAAGACAACTTATTTATTTATTTATTTTGTGCGGTTTTGTTATCTATGTACTCTCAGGAGGTTGAGGACAGAAGGACAACCTTGGAATCCCCTGCTTATATGCTGCCATGGGTGCTCTGAACTGAACACTTGTCTTCTAGAGCTCTTAACAGCTAACCCTCTATTTCTCCAGCTCCACCCTCATACCACCCCAGTGTGTGTGTGTGTGTGTGTGTGTGTGTGTGTGTGTGTGTGTGTGTATTTTGTATTTTTTTTCTTTCTTTCTTTTTTTTTTTTTTCTTGTTTTGAGTTTTCCAGACAGGGTTTCTCTGTGGAGTCCTGGGGGTCCTGGAATTCATGCTGTAGACCAGGCAGAGATGCCTGCCTTTACCTCCCAAGTGCTGGGATTAAAGGAGTATGCCACCACCATCCTGCAGTGTGTGTATGTTTTTGAGAGACTCATTAAATAGCTTTGTTAGGTTATGGAATGTATTAAGTAGGTAGGATGACCTTGAGCTTTCGGGAATCCTCCTGCCTCTCATTCCGGAGCGTTGGCCTTAGTAACGTGTGCCACCACGACCTAGGCATCTTAATATATTTAATAAGTCTGTTCAATCACCTTTACTAATTCCAGAACATGCTTATTGGCCCCAAAGAAACTCTCACCTCTTTCCCTCTAGCTTACAGCACTCATCAACTTCCTCTCTTCGTGGACTTTCCTCTTTTGAATACTTCTTGTAAATGGAAACACAGAACATGTAGTTCTTGTTATTCGTCATCTAAGCATGTTTTCAAGGTTTATTCAAAGTACTGGGTTTGGAGTATTTTCTTTCACGTTAGTTTTGTCTTAGGTCCTGCGCACAAGGAAGGATCTGTAGTGGTCTAAGTCTAAAGACTGGAGCTGCTTGCGGGGCGGGAGGGACAGCAGCTTCCCAGCACCTCAGCAGCCGCAGGGTGGGCTGAGCGTGGGGTTGGAGGGCACCGCGATGAGCTTCACCCACTCCAGGTGAGCGCTGTCTTGTGCATCACTTCTGAGCCTCTGCAGCATCCTCTGGCAGAGGTCCATGAGATGACGCAGCAAGTATTTATTGGTTATCTACTGTGTAGGCTCAGGGGCAGAAGACTTGCGGAGTGGAAACGCATACAGAGGACACCCAGAAACAGTAGGCCGCAGGTTTTTTTTTTTGTTTTTAATTTATTACTAGTGCAGGGAGAGTGCTATGGCGAGGGTGTAGGACAACTTTGTGTAAGTTCATCTTTACGTGGGTTTCGGGATCGAGCTCAGGTCAACAGGCTTTGCACCGCTAGTTCCTTTATCTGCTGAAGCATCGCTCCCGCAGCTATTGGTGTTTTCAATGCTGTGACTGTGGATTACTGAAGGCTGGGAGCAGAGAAACCTACTGACGCCGGGGAAGCCTCAACAGCCAGAGGACCTCACAAGGGAGCTCGGGAAGGCGGGCTGAGTAGGCTGACGCCCTCCGGTCTCACACCGCCTCTTCTCAGTAGCGGGTAGGGGACTGACCCTTATAATAACTCCGCCCACGCGCGCCGTGACTCTTACAGCAGCTTGATGGGTGGGGCTTCTTAACGCTGCAGCAGAAGGGACGCAGCCTCCTCCACTCTCTAGTCTTGTCTATAGCGGGCCCAGCAGAGCAGAGGGCGGAGCCTTTGAAGGCCACCCCCCTCTTAGAAGGCCCCGCCCCCAACGATCCTCGAGTACTGGGCGGAGCCTAGTTGGATGCCCTTCTTTCAGGGCCCGCCTACTGCAGGATCTGCAGTGCAGAGGGCGGAACCTGTGACGGCCTTCCCTTCATCCAGGCCCGCCTACGGCCGACTTGGAAGCGCAGGGGCGGAGCCTGGGGACGTACCGCCTCGCGCCGCGCCGGGGGTGGGGTAGGAGGAGGAGCCGGCGCTGGGTCTGCAGTGCAGCGCGAATGCGCGAGCTGGCGGCCAAGGCCCTGAGGTGCGGCCTGCCCCAGAGCGCTGAGCAGCTGTCGCACGGCAGACAGGCCACGGCGGCCGCGGCATCCTGTCCCGGGCCGTACCATGAGGTCTGCGGGCCCCTCCTGAACTGCGGCTGCCGGCGCACGGGGCCTCGGGGAGCCGGGGCCATGCGCGGGCTGCGCTGACGATGCCGCCCGGCGCGCCCGCTCGCCTGGCGCTGGCCCTAGGCCTGGGCCTGTGGCTCGGAGCGCTGGCCGGAGACCCTGGGCGCGGCTGCGGGCCTTGCCCGCTCCCCTGTTTCTGCAGTCTGGCACCCGACTCCGCCTGCCGCGTCAATTGCTCGGGCCGCTGGCTGCAGACGCTTGAGCCGAGTCTGCGCATCCCTGCTGACGCCACCGCGCTGTGAGTAGCTGCGCCGAGGCAGTGCTGGCGGACGGGCGGTTGCCATGGCGGCGGGCGGCCTGGCTAGAGCATCACGGCTGGGTTCTGCGGGAGCAGAGCGGAGGTAGATAGGGCCCTTCTGGAGCGTCGCTGCGCTGTCGGCCGCAGGGCGTGGGCGCGGTCCGGAGCTTGGGCCGCAAGACGCAGCGGGGCCTGGCCGCTCCCAGGGCGAGGCTCCAGTAGGGATGTCGGCCCGACTAAATAAGGAAAACCTTGGACCTCAGCCGGCGTGACCCAGAAGGGTAGCCAAAAATCCCGGTTTCTGTAAGACTGATGTCTTACTCTGCGGGGCTCCTCAAACAGGAGCTACAACAAGCGCGTGGGGCGTGGTAGGAGGTTTTGGAATAAACGTTAGGGACTACTTGAGATGCGTCCTGGGGTTGGGGATTTCTGTCAGGGCTCAGAGCTAGCATCCAGGGGAGGGGGCCAGACAAGAATTTGATAAATGTGTAAGAATTGTCTATGCTTAAGGGACAAAGTGGGTCCAGCGTACTGCAGGCTGGTCTTGGCCACTTATGGTGACTGCTTGAGAAGTGTGAGGGAGTAGAGGGTATGATGGGAGTGGGCCTCAGGTAGGGCTTCCTTTTACTAGGAATTTAAGGAAGGGAAATTGCCAGGAGGGGTTACAACAGTTGAGACCGGGCCAGTTTTGCATTCTGAAAGTAATACAGTCTCACTGAGAGATTGCCTTGAGCCAGGCTTAACTAGGCTCTTTTTATAGAATATCACACTTAATTCTTAGTCTAATTCTCTGGAGGGTGGTAGAGCTAGACCCTTGTTTTACAGGTGAGGAAACAGGGTTGGAGATGTGATGTAATTTGTTCAAGGTAACACATCCTAGACACGATAGCCTGAGGTTTGGACCTTTTGTAGTGCTAGGGACCAGGGTTGGATCAAGCAAGATGAGGAGGACAGGTTGCAGATATTTGTCTCAGGGCCTGCTGATTACAATCCCTTAGATTTCCTGGGCACTTCAGCTCCAGAAGTCCCTGCTGAAGTCCCCTCAGGAACTTATTACATGCCCAGGCTCATTAAAGTAGAGCCGGGTCCTTTCGTTGGGTTTTATAATGCTCTTGGGTGACTCCACCTTAGTAAGGAAGCCCTGTGTCCTTTGGAGCTGAGATTTGGGGCTTCCCCGGCCTGTCATCGTGTTTGTTCCTTGACCACTGTAGCATTTGTGGTGCAGCTGTGTCTGGATACGGAGCCCCTCCAGTTATCTATCAGTACCCACAGAATTGCATCAGATTCACCCTACCTTTTATTTATGGATGCTGTGAATAAGGGCACTTCTTTTTCTGCTGGCTTGGCATCTCTGGGCGTCAGGCCCAGCTCCTGTTGGTTCCTCCTTCTCCAGCCCCTACTGGCTTCCTAGGAACTGTCTAGGGAATGAAGGATGAAGGCCTGTGGGCTCTGCAAAACAGTGAAGCCTGAGCTGTTGCTCTGGGTTTTGGTGCAAGAGGTTTTCTGAGAGCTGATAACCTGGCCTAGCCTGAGCTCATAGATTTCTCAAAGTGTTAGCCTCTCACACTCTGTGAAGAGATGTCAGCATAACCTCATGTGGATAGATGGGAAAAGACTCCACATTTTTCTTTTTACCTTCAACACTGCTTCTAAGGGACTTACAGAGCTGGGAGAACCAACTGAGAGGAAGCTGAAGCCTCAGGGGCAGGCGTTGAGTTCCCCCTGCTGGTTCTCGAGGCCAGTCTGTGTCCAGTAGGCTGTCCATCCTACAGACTGCTGCACATCAGATAGATGGTTTTCGCTGAGGGAGAAGGACACAGAGTTAAGGCCATTGTTTAGGTGCTCAAGGAACATTGTCTTCTTTCCGACTATGGTCAGGCCCTTCTGTATGTGTGTGGCTCCTTGGCAGGACAGCTGTGTCCTGGTAGTAGGACAGCTGGTCTTCTGCGAGCATAGCTTCCCATCATTTCTTGGCTTAGAACCACACTGCTGCTTAAGAAAGGTGACATTACTGGCAGGGTGCTGCTACTTGACTGACTTTGGGCTTTACCACGGAGCATTTAAAGCCTTGTTATTGTGAAAAGTATATAGATCAGAGTAATGGATCTCACCCTTCTTGCCTGTCATTCTTGCCCTATGTTTTGAGCCAAAGACCAGCATCTTAGTGTTTTATAAAAACTATGAATGTTTTAATACCCCAAACACATAATCTATCCTAATATCCAAAACACATACTCTATCCTAATACTCAAACACATAATCTATCCTGATACCCAAACACAATCTATCCTAATACCCAAAACACATAATCTATCCTGATACCCAAACACATAATCTATCCTGATACCCAAACACATAATCTATCCTGATACCCAAACACATAATCTATCCTAATACCCAAACACATAATCTATCCTGATACCCAAAACACATAATCTATCCTAATACCCAAAACACATAATCTATCCTGATACCCAAACACACCTAAACTAGGGCATGCTTCCTCAGTTCTGTTGGATGTCAATTGTGGGCATTTTTGGTTGTCTCTCTTTTAAAGTTTGTTTTGTTTTAGGTGTATGTGTATCTGTTTTGGTTTTTCTAGACAGGGTTTCTCTGTGTAGCCCTGGCTGTCCTGGAACTTGCTCTGTAGACCAAGCTGACCTCAAACTTAGAGATCTGCCTGCTTCTGCCTGCTGAGTGCTGGGACTAAAGGTGTGTGCCACTATGCCCAGCTGTTTGGATTTTTTTTCTTTTTTCTTTTTTGAGACAGGGTCTCATGTAGCCCAGGCTATGGTTGAACCTTCAAACCTTTGATCTCTTGCTCCAGTCTTCCTAGAGCTGGAATTACAGATGTGTACCACCAGGCCTGGCTCTGGATTTTTGGTAGTTTAAATTAGGGTCCAAATGAGGTCTACACACTACAACTAGTTGATGGCCTGAGTCTAGCTAATGGTTAGGCATTTTCTCACAGTTCTCTTTTTCTAATTTTTGACTTACAGAAGAAACTAACTCCTTTATCATTAGGTTTCTGACTGATAGAGCTGTGAGCTCTTGGCATGTCTCTGTCCTCTGTGTCTTCAGCTCTGTTGTGGAGGGCCACAATTTTTTTTTTTCGAGACAGGGTTTCTCTGTGTAGCTTTGTGCCTTTCCTGGAACTCACTTGGTAGCCCAGGCTGGCCTCGAACTCACAGAGATCCGCCTAGCTCTGCCTCCCAGTGCTGGGATTAAAGGCATGTGCCACCACCGCCTGGCGGAGGGCCACAATTCTTGTAAGGGTCTCTGGGGCCTCTGGGGCTAGTGACTATAGGCAGGAAGGACATTCTGTTATTGAAGAAAGCTCTGTGGGACATCCACCTGACATTAGGTGTAAACTGTCTTTTGGCTTCAGATGTTGTTTTAGATACCATTTCTGAGTGATATGTGCTGTACATTTTGGTCAGGATAATTTTGAGGTCAAACCAGCCTAAGCTACATAGATAGGCCTTGTCTTAAACAAAACAAACAAAAATAGGAAAAAACACATAGTGATTTGGTACCACTCTATTAGTACCAAAAATAGTCTGCTAGTATCAAAAAAGATGGAAGGAGCTGGGAACTCCGGAGGCAGGAAGACACTGAGTTCCAGGACAGCCAGGGCTACACACAGAGAAACCCCATCTTGAAAAGCAAAAACCCAAAACATAACCCTTTTGAAAAAAGGGTTAAGGAAGGCCGGGGCGGTGGTGGCGCACGTCTTTAATCCCAGCACTCAGGAGGCAGAGGCAGGTGGATCTCTGTGAGTTTGAGGCCGAGGCCAGCCTGGTCTACAAAGCAAGATCCAGGACAGGCACCAAAGCCACACAGAGAAACCCTGTCTCCAAAAAACCAAACCAAGAAAAACCAAACCAAAAAAAAAAAGTTCAGAGCCAGGCGGATCTCTGTGAGTTTGAGGCCAGCCTGGGCTACCAAGTGAGTCCCAGGAAAGGCGCAAAGCTACACAGAGAAACCCTGTCTCGAAAAACCAAAAAAAAAAAAAAAAAAAAAAAAAAAGTTAAGGAAAGGTAAATCTATGGAGACAGAAAAAGATTCATAGGGTAGTGAGGGTAGATGGCCAAGGATTGTGGGGCTTCTTTTGGAATGATGAAAATATTGTGAAATTAGTGGTGATGGTACCCAGGCTTGTGAAGATACTAAAAAGCATCAAATTGTAAATTTTGAAAAGGTGTGAACTTCATAGTATTTGAATTTTGTTGTTGATGAAAATAAGCTTTAATTAGACAAAGTAATAAATACATACGAAGATGTAGAGTTTGGTCGTTGGGAGATCAAGTGTGGTAGTACACACTATCGTCCTAGCACTAGGGGACGCAGAAGCAGGATTGCTGCAAATTCGGGTCCAGCCTGGTTTATATAAGGAGACTCC